GGATGGATGGATGGATGGATGGATGGATCAATCAGATGGATGGATGGATGGATCAGATGGATGGGTGGATGGATGGATCAGATGGGTGGATTAATGGATGGGTGAATGAATGGGTGGGTGGATGAGTGTGTACATAAAACTTTCATTTCTTTATTAATAGACACTCGTAAAGGCGAGTGCAATTAAAGTACTTTCAAAACATTACTCGTGTCTATTAATTTCCAAATTGTACTCGAGATCGTGCGATTTCCTATACATATTGATCTATCATATCTATCCACGAACCATACATTTTTTCATTAATGCTTTCAATTGGTGTATCTTACTAGACTTGCTGATTAAGAATTGTGAAGACACTGAGGAATCCGGAATTTGTAATGTCAATAATGCAAACGGAAAGGTACTGCAGGTAAGCAGGAAATAACTTTTATACCAATGCACTGATTTACCAACACAACGATATACATTGGTACAACAAATAATGTTTACAGTATGAGCGACCGTGTTGTATCGGCTATATAATCACGATCCTGAGGCGAAGCCCATACAACAGGACGCGACTGTTGTAAACAGCTTAATTCATATGCGAATTATATACAACCACTAGTGCTTTATCAGAACTGCATATATCCACTAGTGGTCATAAGTAATTAGCATATTCATTGTAAGGGTTTTATCGGGTTTACATAATATTCATGTGACCTGATTCCTGAGATGGGATTGGCTTTGACCCTCATAATTATTCATACATTTTTCAAAACAGGAATATACACTAGGACACTAATACACCAGCACACCATGCAATACTACACTGCTACAACACAATGCTATACTACAGCTACAGTACATCACTACACTTATACAAGAGCACATTAGTACATTGATACAAATACAAACCTATACACTGATGCAACAACACACCGATACACCAATACTCTGCTACAACAGTACAAGAATACACTGATACAATCGCACTTCTATACATTTATACAACAACCCACCGATTTAACGGATCCGATATAACAACACACCAATTCATTGACGCAATTCATTCTAAACCTATACACTGATACAACAGCACACCAATACATTGATACAACAACACACTGATACAACAGCACACCAATACATTGATACAACAACACACTGATACAACAGCACACCAATACATTGATACAACAACACACNGATACAACAACACACTGATACAACAGCACACCAATACATTGATACAACAACACACTGATACAACAGCACACCAATACATTGATACAACAACACACCAAAACATTGCTACAACGACAACAACACACTTATACAACAGCACACCAACACATTGATACAACAACACACCGATACAGTAATACAAAAATACACCAATACATCAATACCCCAATATACTTATAATAAACTGTTATACCAACACACAGATATACGCCAATACAATATAATTGCTACACCAGTTAATCAATACACCAAAACATCAATATACACTAATGCGACAACACACTGATTCAACAATACACCAATACACTGATACAACAACACACTGATACAACAGCACACCAATACACTGATACAACAACACACTAATACAACAGCACACCAATACATTGATACAACAACACACTGATACACTGTTGTACTTTGGTTCCGATTCAGGATACGAATATTGTATTCAACTGACCTTGTTTTCATGCTCATTTAAGAAGAATTAGCTTTTTCATTAATATATCTTTACTAAATGCAACATTTTACATTTAAAAATTTAAGAATAAACAGGTTGCATGAGGGAACATACTGAGGTTACAAAAGGGAGCTCTAGGTTACGAAAGCGAGCATGCTCCCCAATGTATCGTCCCATGTAAGGGAATCCGGAATCCGGAATCCAGCACTCTGGAATCCGGAATCCAGGCTTGGGAATCCGGAATCAAGTTTATAATGGAATCCGGAATCCACTCTTTTGGAATCCGGAATCCGCTACTTTGAAATTCAAAGTATACATTCAAATGCTATCGCCTTGACCTAGAATGAACCGATGTAGCCCCTCCCCCACTGTGTAATATCTCCACCAAGAATATCTGTCATCAGATGCTGATTTGATTGATAGAAGATTCTATCTACTTATACTGGCAAGTATATCAAATATAATTTTCATCTGAAAATTAACGATATGGAATCCGGAATCCGCAATACAAAAATTTTGGAATCAGGAATCCAGACCCTTGGAATCCGTAATCCAGAGTCTTTGCATCCGGAATCCACCATAAGTCCGGATTCCCTTACATGGGGCGAAATGTAACTTGACTCAGGTTACAAAAGGGACCATCAGGGTACATTATCTATTTTTAGAATATAGATAGATAATATAATTAAATAGATAAATATGTATGTTTATATATATATATATATATATTGAAATAGCCAATTATTTTCAAGGTTTACCGCCATGTGACAAAAGATTATAATTGGACTTTGATTGCACGATTTTCAAACAAAGATAATAAAAACTGGCTCCAATCAGGCGGTCCGTGGTGGTATGATACCTTAGCTGCACATGGCAGCACTACTGATCCTTCCATCAATGAGGACATGGTATCGCCAGCACTCTGGTCACTTCAAGGCCGTGAAATAAAACTTACTCGTTCGAATGATTATTTCCATACTCCTCTCCTGCAAACGGTTTCCAACTGTATGGACTCTCACACTTTCCGTTCTATGATTACAAGTTACGGGAACTTTCGAACAACAACCTGGGCAAATAGCAAGTGCCTTGCACGCTGCAATGTAGCATACAGTGGAGATTACTTATCGGTTATTGGATTTTCCTGGGCTAACTGCAGTGGTACCATTCAAGATAGCCAGAAGATTGGGTTTTGGTGTGGCGGTAATGAGGGTAATTATGACGGGTCAGTGATGATGATTGGTGGAGGAGGTGACGGATGTAACAGGGCTGACCATGGTATTGCAATCACTGAGGAAAATAAACCAAAATTTGGAGAAGGATGCGATTTTGGAGATTATACGAGTTCGATAGGCCATTGCTCACCCGACTCGAAGTACTATGCAATCAATTTGTGGATCCGGGAATAACGTTCAGCAAAGAAGGTTTTATAGATCTAAAGTATTTGAATTCGCTGCAGCAGAGCATCGATTTTTTACTTTCAACACTGATTATAATAATGCTTTGTATTTGTTGTGTGGGTTGAGTGCGAGGGAATAGCATTTTCACGTTTAGAAAAAAACAACCACGCCCTATTTGTAATTGTTTGATTTCGGGTTTGAATTTCGATGGAAAACCTGTCTCGGGTTTTGAATTCAGCATTCATACTAACAGGGAAGAGCAGGGCTGAATTCAAAACCCGAGACAGGTTTTCCATCGAAATTCAAACCCTCCTCAACATTAAAAATAGGGCTTGGTTGTTTTTTAAACCAGTTAAAACGCACGTGCTCGGATTTGCATTGAAATTCAATGCAAACCCTCGCCCTAGCGTTTTAACCTTTATGTAAAAATAGATATCGCAAAACCTTGTTTGATCGAAATGCGGACAAACATTGCAAGATATAAAACAATATATATATATGTATACTACAACCTTTTTGCATAGCCTTTTGCAAAAATTATGGCCGCTTCCAATATATATACAAGTATATCAAAAGCATATCAAACATTATGGGATATAATTTTTTTTTTTTTTTTT